AACTTTCTTAACAAACCCATATGTTCTGCTGTACATCAGTGTTATCATAACACACTCCGGCAACCTTGTCTATTATTCGGAATAAAAAGAGCCTCATCTAGCTCTACCAATGTTATCAGACATATTGAAGACGCTTGTGACAACTTGATGTAGTTATCTAGCTACAAAGAGCCAAATATTTTGAAAGATGTACAATTTTAGCAAAGAAGAAGGAAGAAACAAATGCACTGGGAAGCGTGCACTGACTTATTTATACTGTATTTTGATTTATTGTTCTTTGGGTACACATTTATTTTCTCTATGATTTGCGTAGTCAATTTTATACCGACTATGCCTGCTACTAGCGTGTAGCTGAGTGGGAACTTTAAGGTGTATTATGATATAATTCTATCTGGGAGCACTACAGCTTTTCCTGGATGCTTCGGGTAGGACAGTGAATTTCCCCCTTTTCGGGTATTGCTCTGTTCTAAAAATGGTGGAGTGTAACTTCTAGCTTACCAAGTCTGGCAGCAGCTATATTTATCTTCACTCTTGCCAGTTTTAATCAGATACATTCTCCACTATTACGTTTGTTGACCTGCATAGTTTCCTAGTTAATGTATTAAAGGTTGGCGACATTAAATTGTGACTGAGCTTAACTATAAAATGATTATTCATCTTCCATTGATCTTATTGCTCATATCTAGAGGTGGTTTATTTTAAACCGTCGGTACATTTTTAGAAATTGTCCTTCATTCTAAATTATTTTTATTCTACTTGATCTCAAAAATGTCCTCTAAATCAATATGATTCCAAAGAACCTTCTTGATCAGAATCCATAAAAAAAAGATTTATGTATAGGGAGAAAAAAATATAATATATTTTCAGATATTACATTTAAAGGAATACTATAGTGTTAGGAATACAAATATGTATTCCTAACGCTATAGAGCCCTAGTCACAGTTTAGGTGACTAGGGCCTCGTTCCGTGGCGAATAAGGTTTTATTAACCATTTATTTGCGTACATTATTTGTTCTCTCGGCACTGAAGACCTCTCCTCCTCCATCAACGTCAGCTGCCAAGTGGAGCCGAAATGTGCATGCGTGGCCAGAGGCGCATGTGCATTCAAACCAGCCCATAGAAAAGCATTACTCAATGATCCTATGGGGATCTTTTTTGACACTGGACTCCGTGAGGACGTCCAGCGTTAAATAAGTGCGATTTACTCCGTGTAAATCGCGGAAGCGACCTCTAGTGGCTGTCAGGGAGACAACCACTAAATGCTGGTTTAACCATGCAGTGGAAACATAGCAGTTTCTATGAAACTGCTATGTTTTCAGCTGCAGGGTTAAATATAGGGGGGGCCTGGCACCCAGATCACTTTATTGAGCCTATAGTGGTACTTTAAAAATACAATCATTTCTTTACCAATAATCCAAGAGGATTTGTTTGCCAGATTATATTGGATATTTTTTTCTCCATTACCAATAAAGAGCAGGGCTGCACATATTCCAGTTGCTGAATTCAGATTTTAAGGAATATTTCCCATATTCTGCACTGGATATCAAGCAATTAGGTTTAAGATCTTAATAAATGTGTTAGAATATTTCTGTTTTACATACTGGAGAATGTTTCAGTCTTTACACTGTATTAAATATTTATGTTGCTGATGTAATATTGTGTTGTTTCTACTTTGCACACCAGTGTTTAATTATTATTATTATTTTTTTTATTGAGGTTGTGTTTTGTGTAAATAGGTCAGTTTCAATTGTGTTGTGTTTGTGGTATAATATGAGTGGATAGGTGCTGTAGAGAGTGAGAGAGTGTGTGTGTTTAGGTACTATAGTGTGTGTGCATAGGGGGCATAGTGTTTACATAGGGATGTAGCAAGTGTGTTTAAGAGCTGTTCTGTTTATGTGTGTATAACTGATATAGTGTGTGCAGGGGTTTCATGTGAGTGTGTGTTTAGGGAATGTACTGTGTGTACACAGGAATGTGGTGTGTATATCAGGAATGTAGTGTGTGTCTATAGGTAATATAGTGTGTGAATGTCTTGGAATTGGGTCTATATGGTGTAGGAAGTGAGATGGGACCAAAAATGTATACATATTATTTTGAATCCCTCCTTCTTTAAAAAAAAAAAAAAAACACATTAAAAACCCTGTTGCAGACTAAGTTCAATCCTCTCATTAGGTCCGGAATTGTTCTAAGTAGGAGCATTGTCGTAACCCCAAATCCTCCAACCCCTACCAGAGGAACAGAAACTGCGTTTTTACTGCCCTGACTGCCTATCTCAACCTGGCTGTTGAATTGGAAATTGCATTAATATTTACCACACATAGGGCAATTAAGAGACCAGATTTTGTGGCATAATTTTATTCATCATCCAAATGAATGCAGTCTATTGTTTTTCTTAGTAGTTTAGTAGTTTAAAGAACCACTCCACCCTTAAAACAATTTATCTATCATGCATGCATTAGTTTGGGCTATATCTTGAAAGAGCTTGCAAAAGCTGCAGTTCTTATGCAAGTCCTCTCTTATTTCCCTAGAAGTGACTTTCAGTCTCTTCGTAGAATACTAACCTGTCAGAGGATTCTCACTGAGAAGATACAAGCTAAAAACAAGAGTCTCTCCACTCCCTTCTAGGGCATAACCCTCAAATTAGAGATAACTAAAACATGGAGTGAAACCACCATAATGGGGGAAGCAAAAAAAACGAAGGAATCTTAAATTAATAAAGTATATGTGTTAAATCACAAAATACATATACACTCCTGAAAAGTGTAACTATAAGTCAGTTATAATAATTAAATTTCTCTAAAAAAATATCTCTATTAATAATGAACTTTAAGGTAAACAAAAAAATATGTTTAAGTATAGAGATAAATAGATGTATTACTACAAATACCTCACTAGATGGTGTTATTATGTCAATGATTAAAACAGAGGGCTTCTGATGAATCTTTAGTTAAAAGAAATGCTACAATGTATCCCTGCGGCCCAGAGCAGAGTTGGCTCTCTAATTAGGCGATTTAGGCGGCTGCCTAAGGCCTCGTGCTGGCTGGGGCCTCGCGGCTGCCTAAATTACCATAAGGTTGACTGACACGTCGGGTCCTCAGCCCATGACCACACCCTATTCCCATCACTCTGCCTCCTGTCAGCCCCTCACTCTGCCACCTGTGCCCCGTCCTTCCCTCACGCTGCCCACTGTCACCCCTCCCTCACTCTGCCACCTGTCACCCCCTCCTTCCCTCACTGTGCCACCTGTAATTCCCTAACTTTGTCACCTGTCACCCCCTCCTTCCCTCACTCTGCCACCTGTCACCTAACTCTGTAATCTGTCACCCCATCCCTCACTCTGCCACCTGGCACCCCTTACTCTGCCACCTGGCACCCCCTACTCTGCCACCTGGCACCTCCTACTCTGCCACCTGGCACCCCCTACTCTGTCACCTGTCAACCCCTCACTATGCCACCTGTCAACCCCTCTCTATGCCACCGGTCACCCCCTTTTCCCTCACTCTGTCACCCGCTCCCTCACTTCCACCTGTCGCCCTCCACACTCTGCCACTTGTCACCCCCTTTCACACTCTGTCACCCTCTCCCTCCCACACTCTATTACCTGTTACCCCCTCCCTCCCACACTCTGCCACCTGTTACCTGCTTTCACACTCTGTCACCCAACCTCCACACTATGTGATACAATTTCAGACTGTCATCCCCTCCACGCACACACAGTCACTCCCTTCAACACTGTCACCCCCCTACACACACCCTGTCACCACTCCCCACACATTCTGTCTCCACATTCCCACACAGTCATGCTTCAAAAAAACACTGTCACCACCTTATCCCTGCCACACTCACTTTAATCCCTCCCGATCCTGTCACACTCACCCCCTCCAACCAAGCTGTACTCACCTCCCCTCGCTCTGCACTCAAATTAACCCCTCCTCCAACCGTGCCAAACTCACCCTCAACACTGCTGCACTCACCCTTATCCCTTCCACACTCACCCTGTAACACCTCTAACCCTGTCACACTCCCATGCTTTTCTGGAAAAAGAAGGTGTGGTTGTTTCAAGAAGCACAATACGTCAATACTTGAACAAAATGAGCTGAATGGTCGAGATGCCAAAAAGAAGCCTTAACTGCGCCAATGCCACAAAAAAGCCTGACAACACCTTGACATGCCTCACAACTTCTGGCACACTAATTTGAAGTGACGAGACCAAAAATAGTAATTTATGGTCACAGCCATAAGGGCTATGTTTGGAGAGGGTTCAACAAGGCCTATAGTGAAATGAATACCATTACCATTGTGAAGCATGGTGGTCGCTCACTGATGTTTTGGGGGGGGATGCAGGGCCGGACTGGCCCACCGGGATACCGGGAAATTTCCCGGTGGGCCGTCGGCACCTGGGGCCGGGCAGGCAGCTGGCTCACCTGCGGCCGCAGATGGAGCTCCTTTGGTGGCCGCAGGGTTTGCTGGCTGTTCTTGCGGCCGCAGGAGGAGCTGGCTGTTGTGTCTCTGCTCCCCCTCCTCTGCGCGCCGCTTAATGAGACCGGGGCCGGAATATGACATCATATTCCGGCCCCGGTCTCATTAAGCGGCGCGCAGGGGAGGGGGAGCAGAGACACAACAGCCAGCTACCCCTGCAGCCGCAAGAACAGCCAGCAAACCCTGCGGCTGCCAAAGGAGCTCCCTCTGCGGCCGCCAGAAGAGCTCCCCACAGGTAGAAATTGTGTATGTGTGTGTGTGTCTGTGTCATTTGTGTGTGTGTCTGTCTGTGTCAGCAATGTGTGTCTGTGTCATTGTTTGTGTCTCTGTGTCATGGTGTGTGTGTCACTGTCTGTCATGGTGTGTGCATCTGTCTGTGTCATGCAATGTGTGTCTATGTCATGGTGTGTGTGTGTCTGTCATGTAATGTGTGTCTGTCTGTGTCACGGTCTGTGTGTGTCATGGTGTGTGTGTGTTTGTCTGTGTCATGTAATGTGTGTCTGTCTGTGTCACGGTGTGTGTGTGTCTGTGTCACGGTCTCTCTGTGTCGTGGTGTGTGTGTCATGGTCTCTCTGTGTGTGTCAAGGTGTGTGTGTCTTTTTTAAGGTGTGTGTCTGTCATGGTGTGTGTGTGTGTGTCTGTGTCATGGTGTGTCTGTCTGTCATGGTGTGCGTGTGTTTCTGTTTGCGTCACGGTCTGTCTGTGTCATGGTGTGTGTCTGTCATGGTATGTGTGTGTGTATGTGTGTTTTTCAGGGCCGCCATCAGAAAATTTGGGGCCCATGACAAAGCACAAGGTCTGGGCCCCCCCCCGCTCCTCGCGGGCCCGCCCACGCCCTACCTAGTCCGCTCACAATGATGCAGGACTGAATGTGGTGTGTGTATAGTGGAAGTGAATTAGAATGTGTGTAATGGATGTAGTGTTTGTGTGTATTAGATACTGTTTGTGCAATAAATGCAGAGTGTGTGTTTGTGTAGCGGATGCAGTGTGTATAGTGAACGCAGAGTGTTTTTGAGTAGTGGATGTAGTGTGTGTACAGTGATGTAGTGTGTGTACAGTGATGTAGTGTGTGTTTGTGTAGTGGATGTAGTGTTTGTATGTACTAGATGAAATGTGTTTAGTGGATGCAGTGTCGGTAGTGTGTGTATCAGACGCAGTGTCTGTGTATAGTGAATGCAGAGTGTTTCAATTTGTGGTGGATGTAGTGTGTGTACTGTGAATACAGGATGTTTGTGTAGTGGATGCTGTGTGTACAGTTAATGCAGAGTGTATGTTAGTGTAGTGAATGCAGAGTGTGCGTCAGTATAGTGAATCCAGAGTGTGTGCATAGTTTAGTGAATGCAGAGTGTATGTTAGTGTGTAGTGAATGCAGAGTGCGTCAGTGTAATGAATGTAGTGTGTGTGTTAGTGCAGTGAATGCATAGTGTGTGTAAATTTGTAGTGAATGCAGAGAGTGTGTTAGTATGTAGCGGATGCAGAGAGTGTGTTAGTATGTAGCGGATGCAGAGTGTGTGTTAGTGTAGTGAATGCAGTGTTAATGTGTAGTGAATGCAGAGAGTGTGTTAGTGTGTAGCGGATGCAGAGTGTGTGTTAGTGTAGCGGATGCAGAGTGTGTGTTAGTGTAGCGGATGCAGTGTGTGTTGCGTTAGTGTATGCTGTGTGTGTGTTAGTGTATGCAGTGTGTTGTGTTAGTGTATGCAGTGTGTGTGTGTGTGTGTGTTAGTGTATGCAGTGTGTGTGTTAGTGTATGCAGTGTGTGTGTGTGTGTATGTGTGTGTGTCAGTGTATGCAGTGTGTGTGTTGTGTTAGTGTATGCAGTGTGTGTGTGTTGTGTTAGTGAATGCAGTGTATGTGTGTGTTATTGTATGCAGTGTGTGTGTTGTGTTATTGTATGCAGTGTGTGTTGTGTTAGTGTATGCAGTGTGTGTGTGTTGTGTTAGTGAATGCAGTGTATGTGTGTGTTATTGTATGCAGTGTGTGTGTTGTGTTATTGTATGCAATGTGTGTGTTAGTGTATGCAGTGTGTGTTGTGTTAGTGAATGCAGTGAATGTGTGTGTTATTGTATGCAGTGTGTGTTGTGTTAGTGTATGCAGTGTGTGTTGTGTTAGTGAATGCAGTGTATGTGTGTGTTAGTGTATGCAGTGTGTGTGTGTGTGTGTGTTAGTGTATGCAGTGTGTGTGTGTGTTAGTGTATGCAGTGTGTGTGTGTGTTATTGTATGCAGTGTGTGTTGTGTTAGTGTATGCAGTGTGTATGTGTGTGTTAGTGAATGCAGTGTATGTGTGTGTTATTGTATGCAGTGTGTGTGTTGTGTTAGTGTATGCAGTGTGTGTGTGTGTGTTATTGTATGCAGTGTGTGTGTTGTGTTAGTGTATGCAGTGTGTATGTGTGTGTTATTGTATGCAGTGTGTGTGTTGTGTTAGTGTATGCAGTGTGTGTGTGTGTGTTAGTGTATGCAGTGTGTGTGTGTGTTAGTGTATGCAGTGTGTGTTGTTAGTGTGTGATCTGGGGTGAGGGGGAGGAAGGGGCATTTTAACATTAATTTTTTATTAATTTAATTAAATGTTTCTCCCCCCTCCCTGCTTACCTGTGTCCATGGAGGGGGGAGATTCCATCCGTGGTGGTGCGGTGGGGGGCCCCCCCAACTCCCTGTTACCGCAGAGGGGGCCCAGGCAGCACACAGCTTCTCCTCTCTTCTCATAACTCTCGCGAGACCCGGTTACCATGGCAACGCTCCGCGGGTCTCGCGAGAGTTATGAGAAGAGAGAAGAGAGGAGAAGCTGTGTGCTGCCTGGCTGGGCCCCCTCTGCGGTAACAGGGAGCAGGGGGCCTGCGGCTGCACACATAGATAGCGATATTCGCTATCTATGTGTGCAGAAAGGGAAAGTGGGGCCCAGGACTGCCAGAGCAGTCCGGGCCCCCCAGGGCCGCCGGGCCCGTGACAACTGTCACGGTTGTCACCCCCTGATGGCGGCCCTGGTGTTTTTACTCACTTTTTTTTTTTTCCACGTCATGCTGGTCTCCCCTCGCCTGGCCCTGCCTCTACGACTGAGATCATCAAGCCTGATGATCTCAGCCAATCCGCACTGACACAGGAAGCACCTCTAGTGACCGTCTGAGTGTCTGTCACTAGGAAGCAATGTAAACACTGCCTTTTCTCTTAAAAGTCAGTGTTTACATTGAAAAGCCTGTACCACTACATTAAGCTGTGTGTGTGTGCGCGCGCTTGCTTGTGTGTGTGTGTGTGTGTGTGTGCCTGCTACTGAGTGAGCTTGTGTTTTTATGTCAATAACCTTATGTATGAGGCTGTGTATCAATCAGCTTGTGTCAGTGAGATTGTCTGTGTATGCATGTGAGTATGCTTACTGTATAATTAAAAATTTTACTCTGAAAGGACCAATATTTTATATTGGAAAAAGATATATATATATATATATATATATATATATATATATATATATATATATATATACACATATATATATACACACATGTACATGAAGTAGCTTGCACTCACGGACTTGAAATGTAGAAAAAAAATCGCTTTATTCAAAGCATATCAAATGTTCATCATACCTGATATGCTTTGAATAAAGCGATTTTTTTCTACATTTCAAGTCTGTGAGTGCAAGCTACTTCATGTACATGTATACTATGTGGCTTTTGCTTGTAGCACCCGGCCCTTAAAATAATTTATTAAGCCTGAGTGCAAGGATACCAGTCTTTTTTATATATATATATATATATATATATATATATATGTATATATATTATTGCCAGAGATAGCACTCCAAGGACTAATATAAAATATAACTTTTATTACCTCCACTAAAACAACACAAGGTCAACGTTTCAGCTTGATCCCCTCAAGCTTTCGTCAGGAGATGTCCTGACAAAAGCTTGAGGGGATCAAGCTGAAACATTGACCTTGTGTTGTTTTAGTGGAGGTAATAAAAGTTATATTTTATATTAGTCCTTGGAGTGCTATCTCTGGCAATATTTTTTGCATTTTTGGCTGACAAGCACCGGGCATTGAATATTGAATTGGTGGAGTGCAAGATCCGTTTGGTTTTTTATATATATATATATATATATCTCAATCATCTAGGGTTGCAAGACATAGCTTTACATATTACATGCGACAATATATGGCACAATGACTTATGGGGCTGGCATAGATTTTTTTTCCAGGGCTGCTATGGAATCCCCAGTCCGGCCCTGAGGGGATGTGATCTCTAAAGGCATGGGGAATCTTGTGAAACTTGACGACAAGATGTATGCAGAATGTTATCAGAAAATACTGACAGACAACTTGCTTTCTTTTAAAACCAATAAAGTGAACTAAAAGTTACTTAGTGGAGCACTAAATCAGCATTACTCCTAGGAAATTGGGGGAGATGTAAAATGACAAAAGAAATATATTCTGAAAAATATAAAGTAAAATACAAAATAGTGCAATATGCAGAGTCCACCAGAGTGATGTGTATAAAAATATGGACCACACTCACACAGTGTAGAGCTCTATCGGGATAGGCTCAAATCTCATGGGCAGAGGTATATTAGATAATACCATACCCTTCTTTGTATTTTTGGCTCAATCGTCCTCAATGCGGAGAAAAAAGGGGACACAATATCCTAATGCAGATTGTAAAGTGCAAAATATAGCCAAAGTGCAAGTAACTGCTCACCTTCTGAGGAGCCAGTTATACTAGGCTCCCTGTATTATGGTGTGCGTGTGTGTCTTTAAGGGGAACACAACCCTTCTTTTGCAGCAGGAATAGGAAGCGGTAAGGATCCACTGGACTTGATAAAGTTATAACATACACTTTGTTATTACAAAATAAAAAAATATAAATAAAATGTAGATAAAAATAATACCAATAACAGTATATAGGGTCCTGGGTGTGTCAGGGTATTTATATCGGCAGACATCTTGTGCTATGATAGAAATTAAAAGTGTATATTCTGAGTCACTCTGAACAGAGCAGACTCCATTTTGTTATTTCCAAGTTAACAAAAAGACACAAGATTTCTATCTGTAAAACTAACCACTTTCCCAGAGCTAAGGAATGCATAGTATATACAAACCAAGTGATAAGAAGAATATAATCAATTCTAAACCCAGACAATTGTGACAGAGAAGATTAAATAATAACATTTTACTGTCTATATGTGTAAGGTACCATTGTAAGTTATGGGTCAAAACTCAGATTTGCCAGACACATAGTCTGGACAAAACTTAAAGAAACCCTTTGAAATTTTAAATTATGGCACTATAAAGATAACACAAAATGACGTCAAAATAGCCACCAAGAAAAGTTAACTCTTTCCTGGATAGGTATGTTTAGTGGGACAAGACTGCCCTCTATAGACCAAATAACTAATTTGCGATCTGGAAGATAACCACACCTCTAGTGCTTCTATTGGGTTATCAACTGATGACGTACAGAGAGTCTGGCCCTTTAAAAGTTAAGACAAAGGGAAGACAGGATGCAAAGGAGAAGGAAAAAGAGGAGAGAGGAATTGGTAGTTTGGGGGACTCCAACTCAGACAACATCTGAGACTAACACTCTACTCTTAAAACTCTAACACTTAGAATTTTACTGACTTCCTAACCAACACCACCTTTCACCATAACTCATGCACCTACAGACATCCAAATAAGTTCCTGAGACTATCTACCAATCGGATGAAATATCTACTCAACTGGTAATTATACTGGTTTCATTTAATTAATT